CATAATGTAATTTGGTTTAAATAAGTTATCAAATATTTAAGATTCTAGTATGTGGGTATGGTTATCTCCTGATTCACACAGGACATTTAGTTGACATCTTGTGATGATCTAAATCAGTGATTTCCACTTTGATTCTAAGTGAAAACTTGTCGAGCAATGTCAATAGAGTTCCTAAAAAGATCTTTCCTATGTAAGGTGTGAGGTTAAATTTATTTTTCAAAGAAGGACCCTTTAAAGCCTTTTTTTTTTTTAAGAGAGAGAGAGAGAGCGAAAGAGAGAGAGAGAGAATTTTTAATATTTATTTTTTAGTTCTCGGCGGACACAACATCTTTGTTGGTATGTGGTGCTGAGGATCGAACCCGGGCCGCACGCATGCCAGGCGAGCGCGCTACCGCTGAGCCACATCTCCAGCCCCCCTTTAAAGCCTTTTAAAAGATTATATTGCAGATTTCCAAAAGGGGAAATTGTTGTACAACATTTTCTAGTCTTATTTGACCCCAAAGCCCTTTGGTTATAGAGCAAAACTATTTTAACATGTGTTGATTCTGGGCATAAAGGAGAACAACTTTAAGTACATCTTTGAGCTTTTATTCAGCTACAGAAAAGGACATTAAAGAAATTGAATTTTTTTGCTGGAAATGTAGCTCAGTGATAGAGTGCTTACCTGTGATATATGAAACCGTGGGTTCAAACACCAGTATTCTCCCTCCACCCTGCCCACCCCCCCAAAAAAAATCAAGAAACTGACGTTTTCTAAATTGAAAATTTGTTGTTTTCAAACATGAACTTATCAAATAATAATTRGAGGTATCATGGCACAAGAGAGGACTCCCAGACTTTGGAGGTAGTTTTCTAGGTTTCAGTCTCAACTTCACTACTTATCACTATCTGTGTATTCTTAGAAAAGGTTCATAGCTTTTTGAGTTCTTGGCTTTCTCAGTGCTGAAACAAGGGTTTTGATGTTTACAAAGCTTATTACATAGTAGTAGGTGCTTGTATAGCAATAATAAGCACCTATTACTATGTCATTATACATAGTGGGAGTTGCTGGTAATTAATTTGGGAAACCAGTAATTTAATGTGAATAATAAAGATCTGTATATAAGAATTTTAGTTACAGCCAAGCACATGGTGCACACCTGTAATCCCAGAGATTTGGGAGGCTGAGGCAGGAGAATTGAAAATTCAGAGCCAGCCTCAATAACTTTGTGTGGCCCTAGTCAACTTAGTGAGATCCTGTCTCAAAATTAAAAAGGGCTGGGGATTTAGATTAGTGGGAAAGTACTCAAGGGGACAATCTCCAGTATATATAAATAAATAAATATATACACACACACACACACACACACACACAACACACACCCATATATAATTTTTTCATTATTATTATTTTTTTTTAATCAGGGCTCAGCTGTGGTTACTTTTAGCATGACTTTTTCTGTTTCTCCTGCCATGCATGGTGGTGCATGCCTATAATCCCAGCTACTCATGAAGCTAAAGCAGCAGGATTGCAACCTTGAGGCCAGTGTAGCCAATTTAGGAAGATCCATCTCAAAAATAAACAGGGCTGTGGATGTAACTCAGTGGTAAAGCACTCCTGGATTCAGTTCCTAGTACCACATAAGGCATAGTGCCTGTTACATAAAKCAAAGCCAAATTGTCTACATGGTAGAAAGGGAAAAACAAAGATCCCCTGGTTTTGCCAAGTTTCTCTCTGGGCATAGTTGAAAACAAAGCTTAAAATGTGCATCCTCAACAAGCTAGACCTAGCAAGCCAATTGGAATTTGGAGAAYTTACATCTCAACTGAGATTTCCACACCACCCCCCTTCAGTTTTGTTTTTTGTATAAACAGTTGAGATATGAAAAGAGAAACACTTCTTGGGAAAGTTATTATGCCCTAGTTACCCAATGCCTGTCAAAACACTTGATTAAGACATCCTGTTAAATAGGGTGTGGTGGCATACTCCTGTAATTCCAGCAGTTTGGGAAGCAGAGGCGGGAGACTAGCAAGTTAAAAACCAGCCTCAGCAATTTAGTGAGTCTAAGCAACTTAGAGAGACCCTGTCTCAAAATAAAAGGGGCTGGTTAAATGCCTCTGGATTTGATCCCTGGTAGAAAAACAAAACAAAACAAAACATGGTGATTATACACATACCACCTAATGTGACCATCCTTGGATCATAGTTTGGCAAGAGATAGCTCAGGGATTATATGTTTCAAAATTGGTTGCCAGGTGATTGATGTCCTCTTATCTTTTGACTTGAGAGAGGAGATAGTTAAGACCAAGACTAGATGGTATAGGCTAGGGTTATAGAGTAGTTCAGAACCCTTTCCCAGTTTTGCCTATGGATTAGGGTTGTTTTTGTTTTTATTTTTTCCCCAAGGTAAATACTGCCCTTCTGCCTATAATGCTATTATCAGTTATACTTTTATATAAATTGCTGTGTCTAAACGCAGTATTCTCCCAAGTCCTTAGGAGGTCAGTTCATTGAAGGGTAGTTACCTCTGAGGGGATATGAAAGGGGGAAAAGATGGAGCAAAGGATATTTCTCAGACATTTGGATGAACTGCCCAGTGGGGGATGTATGGCAGCAGTTGGTGACATATGACACTTTTCCCTAAGAAATTAGAGGGAGAAAGAGATTCCAAAGTTAAGCTCTATTTCCTATTACATCTGTTCTGTCCAGTGCTGTTTGTACCTTAGATATCAGTAGATCTGAATGTAAATCACATCTACTCTGAAGAGCAAAGCAGTAGGAGAAATTGGAGATTTGACCAACTTATAGTGAGGACCAATCCAATCTTTTTTTTTAATTAATTTCTTTTTCACTTGTTTATTTATTTATTGATTGATTGATTGTGGTGCTGAGGATCAATCCCAGGGTCTTGCACATGCAAGGCGAGTGCTCTAACATTGAACCACAACCCCAGCCCCAAGGACCAATCTTTTAAAAAAATACATTTTTCGTTGTAGATGGACACAATACCTTTATTTTGTTTATTTAGTTTTTTTTTTTTTTTTTTTTTTTTTATGGTTCTGGGGACCAAACCCAGTGCCTCATGCCTGGTAGGCAAGTGTTCTACCATTGATCCACAACTCCAGCCCATGAACACCAATTTTATACCCAAACGGGTGTGGGATGTTTACATATTCTTTTTTAAAAGATTCATTATTCTCAATTTGTAATGGACACAACAACAMTATTTGTCTCACAGATAGTTGAGGAAAATATTGTGAACATAGGAATGAATTAGTAATAATAGTAAGAAGAATAATGTTTAAGAAAATATAGAAAAGTAGCCAGGTGTGATGGCTCATGCCTGTAATCCCAGCAACCTRGGAGGCTTAGGCAGGAAGGTCTCAAATTTGAGGCCGCCTTTAGCAAGACACAGTCTGAAAAAAAGAAAGAAAGAACTGGGGATATAACATCCCTGGGTTCAGTAACAGAAAAAGAAATGAGAAAGGTAAAGTTTCGAAACAAGTTATTTGGGTGATAGAGAATTTATTTAGTTACTCAAACATTTCCTGTTGCAAGGCATTATGCTAGGTTTTGGGAATATAAAGATAAATAAGTTTTTTTTCCTAAGGGAAAAAAAATTGCAGGGCTAGGGTTTAGCTCAGTGTTAGAGTACATGCCTAGCACATGCAAAGCCCTGGGTTTAATCTCTAGCACCCCCCAAAAAATTACTTTTTAAAAGAGAATTACCTATTGGACTCTAAAGAAAGTACTTTGGGAGGAGCTTGAAATCTGTGACCAAGGTAATTAAGTGTAATGTTCCCTCCTCTTTGTTTTATTTCTCTTCCAGAAATGCTAATAGCCAAACTTTGTTATTGCTGAGGCAAGAATTGGTAGCAGAGATAATGGAATTATCTCCTGCCAAAACTACAGTGGACTTTCTTTCTGAACAAAGTTGGCATTGCAAAACTCTTGTACTGAAATGAGAATGGATATTGTGCTGGAGACACACTCAGGTTTTAACTCAAATTAAAACCAGCCCTATCCAGTGTAAATTGGAATAGTTTTTTCACATGCATTAAAAATACCTGAGTGTTGTAGTGTACACGTGTAATCCCAGTGACTTGGGAGACTGAGGCAGGGGGATCCCAAGTTTGAGCCAGTCTGGGTAACTTAGCAAGACCTTGTCTCAAAGTAAAAAATGCTGGAGATATAGCTAAGATATAGTAAGAGTGCCTCTGGGTTCCATCCCCAGAACTATWGATAGATAAATAATTATGGCCTAGAAAGGAGCAAATATCTTTAACCAGTTTCCCCCAATAATTAAAAAAATGAATATGGAGAAGAGGTTGAGTCAAAATCCTAAATCCTTATTTTGGAGTGTGGGGAACTGGAAGGAAATATACTAAAATGTAAACCATTGAATTACTGTATTATTAGTGGTTGGGACTACTTTCTTAGTATTTAAATAACTTTATCTTTGTGTGAGGGGGGCATGGAGGTACTAGGAACTGAACTCAAGGGTGCCTTACCACTGAGCAACATCCCCAATCCTTTTTATTTCTTATTTTGAGATGGGGTCTCATTAAGTTGCCCAGCCTGGCCTTGAACTGGGATCCTCTTGCCTTATCCTCCTGAGTTGCTGGGATTATAGATGTTGGCCATCCTGCCAGGCTTCCTACCTATCAAGAATTTATAAACAGTTTTATTTTACCATAAATGTTTCTAACAAAGATGAATAAAATTGTCCTAACAGTTTTCCATTTTGTTTTTTTGCTGGTATTTTGCTCTTTTTCATGCCCTGTGTAATTAATTTTTCATGTGCAACCAGAATAGCTTTTTAAATAGTGTACCTATGATTATGCCACTTCCATTGAATTTGAAATTATGGCTTTGGATTTAGTGATTCTCATCCCTAGTTGCATATTAGAATTACCTGGAAATTCCAGACCCCTACAGAAAAAAATTACCTAGGCTAGGTAGTCTTCAGAGAATTTGAATAAACTGCTTAGGGTCTTTTTTTTTTTTTTTTTTTTGATAGGATATTTAAAAAATCTACTCAAGTGCTTCTGATATGCGGGCAAGATTGAGAACGCTTCCCTTAGATGAATGATCTCTCCTCTGTCTACTTCTCAGACCTTATCTGCCAACTTCCCACGCTTGTTCAGCCTCACAGGTTTCCTCCTCTCAAAAGTTATGTTGTCTGTCTTTCCCTCCCGTTCACCCTTCCTCCCTCCCTTCCTTTTTTTGCATTGCTGGATATTGAACTCTGGGCGTCATACATGCTAGGCAAGCACTTTCACCCTCCAGTCCTATTTATTCTTTTTTTTTTTTTTTTTTTTGTACTAGGAATTGAATCCAGGGGCATTTATCCATTGAGCCACATTCCAACCCTTTATTATTATTATTTTCATATTACCTTTATTCTATTTATTTATTTTTATGTGTTGCTGAGGATTGAACTTAGGGCTGTACACGTGCTAGGCAAGTGCTCTACCATTGAACTACAGCCCCAGCCCACACCGTTTTTCTTTTTATTTTTTGGTACCAGGGATTGAACCCAGGGGTGCTTAATCATTGAACCACATCCCCTCCCCTTTTTACTTTTTGAGACAGGTTCTCATTAAGTTGCTTAGGGCCTCCATAAATTAACTGAAGCTGGCTTTAAACTTACATTCTCCTGCCTCAGCCTCCTGAGCTGCTAGGATTATAGGTGTATGCCAGAGTACCTGGCTTATTTTTTTATTTTGAAACAAGATTTCCCTCAATTTCCAAGCTGGCTTCAAACTTGAGATCCTCCTATTTCATTCAGCCTTCTGTGTTTGGTTTTTACCTAATGTCCTTTTTTGTTTCAGGATTCCATCTAAATTACCACATTATATTCAGTAGTCACATCTTAAGCTCCTCTTGGTTATGACAGTTTTTAGGACTTTCTTTGATTTTGATAACCTTGACAATTTTCAGGAATACATGTCAGGTTGTTGTATGTCCTCTGGTTGACATTTGGCTAAAGTTATATATTTTGGGGAGGAAGACCACAGGGGTAAAACACTGTTTTTATTACATCATATTTAGAGTACATAGTATTCAACAAAATTTAACACTGTTGATTATTTACCTGAGTGAGGTAGTGCTTATCAGTTTATCCGCTGTAAAGTTAATATTCCCTATTCCGTTTTCCACACTGTATTTTTTGGACAAAAGTCACTACATGTTGGGAAAGACTAGGAAGTTATGCTTTAGTTTGAAGGTAAAGTTTCTACCTAAGTTATTTGAAATTCTTCTGTAYGGGATATTTGTCTCTTCTCCTCCATTTATTTATTCAATCATGTATTTGTGCCAGAGATGTTTATTTTGTACTTTGATTTAGATTTAGGTGGACACAATATCTTTATTTTATTTTTATGTGGTGCTGAGGATTGAACCCAGTGCCTCATGCATGCTAAGTGAGCACTGTACCCCTGAGTCATGACCCCAGCCCCTATGGGGTCTTTTTCAATTGACTACTGTATCCCTTTGACATAGACATTATAGTTTTTTTGTTTTACTTTTTGAGTACTTCCTTAATTATCAGCATTATAATTTTCTCCACCTTCATTTACATATTTGCTACAGTTCTTTAGTTAGCCCTTTCTGCAAGGAACCCTGTTTCCTTTTATTGGAGAATGGTATTAGAAATCAGATCTGGGGGCTGGGGCTGTAGCTCAGTGGCAGAGTGCTTGCCTTGCACATGTGAGGTGCTGGATTCGATCCTTAGCACCACATAAATATAAAACAAATAAAGAAAAAAACTACATAAAAAATAAGATCTGGGTATTAGTTGTGTACATAGGGCCTCAAAGCTGACAGCAAGGAGGCTAAAGTGAGTTTTTCTATATGTAACCATGTGCATCTGTATTAAGCTAAGCATGAGCCAGGTATCGTGGTACACATGTAATCCCAGCAATTCAGGAGGCTGAGGCAGAATGATCTCAAATTCATGGTCAGCCTCAGCAACTTAGTGAATACTTGGATTTATTTATTTATTTAGTTGTAGTTGGACCCAATATCTTTATTTATTTTTATGTGGTGTTGAGGATGGAACTCAGACCCTCACATGTGCTAGGCAAACAAGTGTTCTACCACTGAGCTACAACCCAGCCCTGAATACTTGGATTTAAATAAAAATAAAAAGGGCTGGGGATATCTAGATAAGTGGTAAAGTGCCCCTGGTTCAAAACCCAGTAGCAAAAAAGAAAAGCTCAACATGAATTGGTACAGATGTCTGTATTATCACATAGATCATTCCAGCTTTCTCTCTTTGGTTTTTTCTCTCTGTAAGCTCACTCTTCAACAGTGAAAAATCTGTCTCCCACAATCTATCATATATTTACTTATTTGTTCAGTTTCAATGTACATATATAGATTCAGCAGCTTCAGATTAATACAGAGTCCTATGGAAGACTCTTAGTGCTTATTTGCAGTACCTGTTGCCTTTTGTCTTAGATTCCAGTCATTTCCAAAGTTACTTAGGTCAGCACCTTTTCTACACTTGCTTCAGTGAGGTTGTTTAATTTATTTGAAGTACAATTAGATTATTTCATCACAGTTTGTACTCCATCCAGAAATCACCTGGCATCCTATATGATTTCTTTAATTTGCATACATTAAGATTCACGCTATGAAGTTAGTTAAGTTTTGATAAATGCAAAGTGTCACACGTCTATTTGTCTTAGAATTTTTACATTTGTTGTCCTTTTGCCTGGAATAGTCTTCCCACATATTGCCCCATGGTTACCCCCTTATCTTTCATTCCCTTCTGTGCTCCATGGGGAGGCCTTCCTTGGGCATTCAACCTAAAGGACTCTCCGAACAAAATAAAAAATTGTATTCATTTAATTTCTCCTCTCTCTCYTTTTCTCTGTATTGTTTGGTCAATCTCCCTGTACTAAGATACAAATTTAGTGAGAGCAGGGACTTTTCTGTTTCCTGAATATTTAAAATACTGGGTCAGTAAAAATATCTTGATGTATGAATGAATAATCCTGTCCTAGGTGTGTCTAGTCTTATTCCTAGTCATGGTTTCATGATTAATAGTATCTGAAAGCAGATTTGTTCAATTCAGCTTCCTGATTAACTACCTCACTACTTACAAAGGGGATTTGCTTACAGATTAGATTATTTCAGTATATTGAAAATGTGCAATTACTTTATTCTCTCCTACATGTTGATAACTCTTTTTTTTTTAAAGAGAGAGATTTTTTTAATACTTATTTTTTAGTTCTCGGCGGACACAACATCTTTGTTTGTATGAGGTGCTGAGGATCGAACCCGGGCCGCACGCATGCCAGGAGAGCGCCCTACCGCTTGAGCCACATCCCCAGCCCCATTGATAACCCTTTTTAAAAAATATGTTTTAATAAGAGATTTAAAATCTTTGTTCCAGGGTTGAGGTGTATCTCAGGGATAGAGTGTTTGCCGAGATCAAGGACCTGAGTTCAATCCATGGTACTTCAAAAACAAATGTCTCTGCTCATACTTGGAATTGCATATTAATAACCATTGACTTCCTAGTCCTGCTGTAATTAGAATCAGTTGAGGAATTAAAAAAAAAAAAAGGTTAGCTGAGGGACAAAGTACTATTTCCTGACTAGGAAGATTCTACAGTTTTGTATTTTTAACATGTAGTCTGGCATCTAATTAATTGAACATTTGGTGTTTCAGAATCCCACTGGGGGTACTGGGGTTATGGCTCAGTGGTAGAGCACTTGCCTAGCATGTGTGAGRCACTGGGTTCTTTCCTCAGCACCATATAAAAATAAATAAATAAAGGTATTGTGTCCATCTACAACTAAAAAAAAAAAAAAGAAATAATAATAAATCCTACTGGGACTGAGGGTAGTTCAGTAGTAGAGCCCTTGCCTACATTCATGAGGCCCTAAAATCCATCCCCAGCACTTAAAAAAAAATTCAGTATATGGTTATACAGTGAGATTTTATGATAATTTCTAGAAGAATTCAGTTTATTACTACTATTGAAACATACACACAAAATCTTTAATTTGCACTAACTTTCTGTAACTATTTAAGCTCTTTCTATGGGCTAGGTGCTAGGGAATATCATAAGTGAATCATGGACACTGCTTTCAAGGAACCTGTACCCTTTGAGAAGGCAGTAGCATGGATGTAAATAATTATAGTAGAAAACAGAAAACAATTTTGGTATTTTAGGTAGGGAGTGGTCCTTCAGACTCCTGTGAGAAGGTAAAATTAGAGTTTCATTTCTTTTTTTTAAAAATATTTTTTAAGTTGTAATTGGACCCAATACCTTTATTTTATTTATTTTTATGTGGTGCTGAGCGCCTTGCAAGTGCTAGGCAAGTGCTTTACTGCTGAGCTACAACCCCAGCCCGTGGAGTTTCATTCCTTTTTGTTGTTGTTGTTGCACTGGGGATTGAACCCAGGAGTACAGTACCTCTGAATTATATCTCCAACCCTTTTTATTTTATTTTTGAGATAAAGGTTTTGCTGAGTTGTTCAGGCTGACCTTAAACTTGTGATTTTCCTGTCTCAGCCTCTTGAGACACAGGAATTACAGACATGAGTCACTGCACCCAACTATAGTCTAATTCTTAAAGAGAATACGCAGTGAGAGAGAGGACATGGAAGTCCTTTATATGGACTGTAATGTAGGAAATTGAAAAGTAAGGAGGGCCTGTCACAAGCCAGAAAGAAGATCATTGCCAAAATGGAAAAAGGCCTGGAATGGTCAGGAGATAAAATCCAGATTGTCAGAGCTATTGAAGCCATCATTTCTTAACAGAGTTGTATAGCTATTATACTTTTTAAATTTTAGTATTGGAGTTTTTAATAGTAATTCAAACATTAAACATTTTTAATTAGAAAGTTTATTTATCACTTGTGAATTTTAAAAAAACAAACAATTATAGCAAGGCACGGTGGTGCATGTCTGTAATCCCAGCAACTCAGGAAGGTAAGGCAAGAGGATCGCAAGTTCAGTGCCAACCTAGGCAATTTAGCAAACCCCCATGTCAAAAAATAAAAGGGGCTGGGGATGTGGCAGAGGATCCCTGGGTCAGTACCCAGCACCAAATAAATAAATAAGTCCTGAAAAATCCAAGCTGTAGAGTTTTTGTTTTTTCAAGCTCTGTAAAGGATATCGAGTCCAAACTAAACCCCTCATGCTGTAAATAAAGGAAAATAAATTCCAGAATGTTTTAAAATATGTCTGTCCATGAATATGGAGAACAAAATCAAGCAAGAACTTGAGTCTTATGACTAGTTAATCTATGTCAACGTATTCTTGTCAGGTTGAGATCGCTCTTTGTCCTGATGATTGTCAGTTATCAAGAGAAGTTTCATGAGGATATAGACTTTTTTACCTCATTTCTCTAGCCCTTAGACATTATATACTTGCTATACAGAATAGGCACACAGTAGGCATTTGTTGAATGAAAAGGTGAATGGATGGAAAGATAAGACGCCTATAGTGATCCTTGAAGGAAGGCTAGGGTTTAGCTCACTGGATATCATATATGCAATGAACTGTTAGATTTAAYAGGTATTGGGCATCTGAAGGGAAACTTTTTGGATGGGGGGCAGCACTAGAGATTGAACCCAAGGCCTTGTGCATGCTAGGAAAGCACCCTACCACTGAGCTGCACCCCCGGCCCCCTCAAGGCAATTATTGAGGGAAATAACCTAGAAAGCCAGATTGGGTTCACATTATAGAAACACTTAAATCCAGGCTAAGGATTTTGGAATTATTACTTTCATTTAAATAACAAAAATAACTTGAAATTATTTCAACTGACTATTCAAAGGTTTTGAACAGAGGAGTAATGCACACAAACACACTAAATACACAGGAATAAGAATCAAAAGGAAAGAGAGAAATTAAATTATTGACAGTTGATTTGAGGTGTTATGAAAGGTTAATTAAAGATTCTGGCTGTGAAAATGGAAATGTTACAGATGTAAGATAAATGGAAAATGGAACTGTCAAAACTTGTTTACTGATGAAGCGTGGCAAGGTGAGGTTGAGGTTTTGAGATTTTTTTTTTCTTCATTTTTTGTGATAATGGGGATTGGATTGAACTCAGGGCCTCCTGTATGCTAATCAAGAGCTTTACCACTGAGGTCTATCCCCATCCCCTTTTATTTTATTTGGAGACAAGATCTTCCTGAATTGCCTAGGCTATTCAAAACTTTTTATCCTCCTACTTCAGTTTCTCTAATGCTGGGATTGTAATTGTGTGCCACCACACCCAGCCAGATGTCTTCTGTCTAGATGTTTTTGTGGTATCACTAACAGATACAGTAATTTTAAAGGGTGGATTTGAGTGAGGTACTGGTGCCTTGTCTTGGTGGATGTGGTGAGTGGGCTACTGGAAGTGTGTTGCTAAGAATCGGAAGAAATAGTGGGCCCAGAGATTGTACTAGCAGTTCTACATAGATAGGATGCTTGAAGGTTGGGGATTGAATGAGATTGCCAAAGAGAGAGACAAAAACCAAGGATACATCCTTAGGAAATTACATTTAGAGGGATAAGAAGAAGAGGAACCAGAGAAGGAGTTTTGGTCAGGGTCTAGTTGAAACCTTAGAATAGTCTGAGGAGAGTGGGGGAAAACATCTGAATTACAGATTCTTTTTCATAAAAAGTTTTATATAGTTCATATTGAAGCTATTTATAAAGTGATATAAATTAAGGAAAGGCATTGCTTTTTGCAGGAAAACTGCATTGTATCATTATATATTAAAATCAGAATAGTTGTTTACCTTTAGAAAATATTTTGCTAGACCCAGAGGTTGACGAAATATTTAAAATTTTAACTTGAATTTGAGTGAGAAAATTTGATTTTAATCACTAGTTCTCTTTCATTGAAAGCCTTGAAGTTTTAGAAATTCTGTGAGTCTAGAATAGTTAATTTTTTTTTGGGGGGGGTACTGGGAATTGAACCCAGGGATGCTTAACCCACTGAGCCACATCCCCAGACTTTTTTTTTTCACTGAGTTACTTAGGGCCCCGCAGAGTTGCGAAGGCTGGCTTTGAACTTGTGATCCTTCTGTCTTATCCTCCCAAGTCCCTGGGATTGCACATGTGCACCACTGTGCCTGGCCTAGATAAATTTTTAATCAAAGTTTTACCATGCTTTAAACATCTACCTTAAACATTTAGTGCATTTTCCTATCATCATTCAATAAGGATTCCTTTGGGGTAAAAGTGCTCCAAACAAAAAAGTAAGTACTATTGATTTTTTTCTTAAGTAACTTTTATCTTTCTTTTTAGGATCTGACTGGCATAGAATCTATGGATCAATGTCGCCATACTTTGGAACAGCATAACTGGAACATAGAGGTATAATAGGATTTGTTCTAAGCTTATTCCATTTGTTGTCCTGGTCTGACAAAGAATCAACAATATGTGTTTTTCCATGGCAGGAACCTTTTCCCCAAAATTAAAGGTGTGGGAAATGGAGAAAGCCTGTCAAAAATGTATGAGATCATAAATGGTGAAGAAATCCCATACTCTTATTCCCTTCTTAGTTTTTCTTAATAGCTGTTTAAGAAAACTATTAGATTTTTATATTTGGTGTTTAACCAGATACTTTAATGTGAACCTTCTTATTACATATTTTGTAGCTTATTCTTTTGGGTTTTCTAGGTGATCATGTCATTTGCAGCTCAGTGATTTTTTTTTTCATTACTTGCATCTTTTGTTTCTTTTATTTGATTATGAATTGGCTAGAACTTTAGAATATTGTCTAAATCATCAATGGTAGTAGCAAACATCTGTTCTGTCATGTTTCTGATATTATCAGTTGTTGCTTTGAGTTAGATTCATCAGAACGTAAACTTTATGAGAGCAGAGGATTTTTGTTTGTTTGTTTTTTCTAGGTTTTTTTTTTTKTKTKTKTKTGTGTGTGTGTGTGTAGTGTTAGGGATCGAACCCAGGGCCTAGTGCATGCAAGGCAAGCACTCTACCAACTGAGCTATGTCCCCAGCCCTATTCTAGTTTTACTAACTGCTTTGCTCCCAGCATATAACACTGAGCTTGGCACATCATGGACTCTCAATAAATATCTGTTGTCTAAATCCATTCTTAGAATATTAATGCTACAAGGCATTAATACTATAGACTTATTAATATTATAGACTCATGCCTGTAATTCCCAGCAACTCGGGAGGCTAAGACAGGAGGATCAAAAGTTGAAGGCCAGCTGTGGCAAGTTAGTTAGACCTGTCTCAAAATAAAAATTTTAAAAGGGCTGGGCATGCAGCTCCATGTTAGAGTACCTCTGCACTGAAAAGGAAAGGCCATGTACATGGTACACACCCACATAGGCAAAAGGTTTCCAAAAGCATAAAGAAGAAATCAATCACCTATAAATCACTTTATGTATAGATATTGTTATATTTTAGTGTATTTTCTTTCTGACTCTCTATTGAAATGACTGTATGGATTTTTAAAAAATAGACTATTTTAAAAATATATTTTAGTTGTCAATGCACCTTTTATTATTTACATGTGGTGCTGAGAATGGAACCCAGTGCTTCACCCATGCTAGGCAAGTGCTCTACCAATGATCCACAACTCTAGCCCTTTGAAATGACTATATGGATGTATATATAATTTTTTGAGATAGGATTGTGCAGTATTTGCAGTTTTTTTCACTTCAATCTATTTTAGTAGCTTGTAAAATTAATAGACAAAATATATAATAATAATTTTAGTTTTTCAAGAGTTCAAAGAAAGCCTAAGATAAAGTATCAAAGAAATTCCATTAATATCACTTTCCTACCAGTTTCTTAGTCCTGCTTTCCTGACACTGCCATGTTAACTATCTTCCCCCATCCCCACCCTTTGTACTGGACAGCACTTTAACCCAGGGGCACTTTGCCACTGAACCATATCCCCAACCCTTTGTATTTTTTTTATTTTGAGACAGGGTTTCACCAAGTTTCCTAAGCTGACCTTGACTCAAGAACCTCCTACCTCAGCCTCCTCAGTCAGAGGGATTACTGGTGTATGCCACCATACCCAGCTAACAATTTCTTTTGATTCTGTCCAGATATTATTAATGCCCATCTAAAAATATATTTTTTTGAGAATTTTTTTTAATATTTATTTTTTTTTTTTTTTAGTTTTCGGCAAACACAACATCTTTATTTGTATGTGGTGCTGAGAATCGAACCCAGGCCGCACRCATGCTAGGCAAGCGCGCTACCGCTTGAGCCACATTCCCAGCCCCTAAAAGTATTTTTGTTATATATTTCCTATATAGATCAGAGCTTTTTCCCAAGTGAACTGGAGTTTTAGTTTATAGATACTAATGAAGTTTATTAATTTATTTTTAAGACAGTTCATTATATGTTGGACTGGGGGTACATAGTTTTGCCTAGTATGCATGAGGCCTTGATTTTGATTCCCAGTACCACAATAACAACGAAAACTCTATTAAAATTACTTTTGCTGGGCGCAGTGGCGCATGCGCGCTTATAATCCCAGTGGCTCAGGAGGCTAAGACAGGAGGATCGTGGGTTCAAAGCCAGCCTCAGCAATGATGAGGTGTAAGCAACTGAGTGAGACCCTGTTTCTAAATAAAATACAAAATAGGGCTGGGGAGGTGGCTTAGGGGTTGAGTGCCTCCCCAGTACAAAAAAAAAAAAAAAACACTTTTATAAAAGATAACTATGTTTAACTGAGTGCTGTGGAGCACACCAATAATCCCAGCAATTTGAGAATGAGCAGGAAGGTTGCAAATTGGAGGCCAGCTTCAGCAACTTAGCAAGACCCTGTCTCAAAATAATAAATAAGTTTGAGGATGTAGTTCAGTGGTAAAGTTCCCTTAGGTTCCACCTCATATTCACAGACTTGTACAGTTACCTTCACAATCAATTTTAAAACATTTTCAGAAAAATATTTTAGATCATTTAGAAGATTACCCCCAAAAGAAACCCCATACTCTTTAGCTATTACTTTCTGCTCATCCACCCCTAACTAGTCTACTTTCTRTGTTTAGATTTCTTTTTTCTAAACTTTCGTATGAATAGAATCAGAGCATGTGGTCTCTTGTGATTGACTTATATCAAGGTTCATCTTGTAGCTTGTATCAGTACTCATTCCTTTTTATGGTCAAAAAGTATTCCCAATGGGCTGGGGGTGTAACTTTGCTGGAGTGCTTGTCTAGCATGCACAAGACCCTGGGTTTAATCCTTAGTACCACCAAAAAAAAAAAAAAAATTCCTTTGTGTAGATATATTACCTCTTAGTCCAGTCATCCACTACAACAAAATATCATAACCAGGAGGGCTTATAAACAAAATAAATTTATGTCTTATACTGGAAAAATGAAGGCACTAACTGTCTAGTAAGAATCCATTTTCTGGTTCACATGTGACACTTTCTTACTATAGTTTCACATGGTGGAAGGGGTAGGCAGCTGTCTAGGGCTTCTTTTAAAAGTCACTAATCCTGGGCTGGGGATATAGCTCAGTTGGTAGAGTGCTTGCCTAAAAAAAAAAAAAAAAAAAAAAAGTCACTAATCTTAATCATGAGTCCTACCACACTGGTTGTTAGGTTTTGATATAGGAAAATTGGGGAGGGTGGTTTACAAAAATGCAGATCATAGCACCACAATATTTTCATTCATCATTTGATTGATATTTGGGTTTTCCATTTTTGGCTATTAATAATGTTGCAGTGAATTAGTATGCAAGTTTTTGTGTGAATGTATATTTTTAGTTTTCTTGAGTATATACTTAGAAGTAGAATTTGTTGGGCCATATGGTAACTATTGAAGACTTGCTAGACTGTTTTCAAAATGTACCATTTTAATTTCCAACAGTAATGTATGAATGTCCCAATTTATCCATAGCCTTATCAATACTTGTTAGCATCTTTTCAGTTTTAGCCATTCTAAGGGGTATGAGATAGTATTTCATTGTGTTGTTTTTTAAAAAAATATTTTTTTAGTTGTCAATGGACCTTTATTTTTTTTATTTGTTCATATGCAGTGCTGAGAGTTGAACCCAGTGCCTCACACATTGTAAGCAAGGGCTCTATCACCAAGCTACAACTCCAGCCCTCAGTGTGGTTTTGATTTGCATTTTCCTAATGACTGAAATGATGTCGAGTATCTTTTTTTTTTTTTTTAAATAATTTATTTTGGAATGTAACATGAGTTGCCCCTTTCTTTTCTTTTTCTTTCTTTTTTTTTTTTTTTTTTTTTTGGTATGAGGATTGAACTCAGGGGCCCTCAACCACTGAGCCACATTCCCAGCCCTATTTTGTATTTTATTCAGTGACAGGGTTTCAGGGAGTTGCTTAGCACCTCACTGTTGCTGAGGCTAGCTTTGAACTCCTGTCTAGCCTCCTGTGTGATCCTCCTGTCTAGCCTCCCAAACTGCTGAGATTACAGCCGTGCCCTACCATCTCTGACAGTATTGAGTATCTTTATGTATGTTCTTGTTAGCCATTTATAAATCTGCAAAAATGTCTTTGCTTATTTTTAAACTAGATTGTTTGTCTTTGGTGTTGAGTTGTAAGAATTCTCTATATTCTGGATACTTGATCCTTGTCAGACATGATTTGTAAATATTTTCTCCAATTTTTTAAGTTTGTTTTTTATTTTCTGGAGAGTGTCTTTAGATGCATAAAAGTTTTTCATTTTGATAAAGAGATGCTTTTCTACTTTTTTCCTTTGTTGCTTATGCTTTTAGTGTCAAATCTAAGATAACATGGCCCAATCCGTGTTCATTGTTTTCTTTAACGGGGCTGGGGATGTAGTTCAGCGGCAAAGTACTTGCTTAACGTGTGAGGCACTGGGTTCAATTCAGCACCACATAAAAATAGAAATGCATTCTATCTACAACTAAAAAATTTTTTTTTTTTTAATTTAAAATTTCAGGGCTCAGGTTGTGGCTCAGTGGTAGAGCACTCGCCTAGCTTGTGTGAGACCCTGGGTTTGATCCTTAGCACTACATAAAGAAATAAATAAAGGTTTTGTGTCCATCTACTACTAAAAAATATTTTTTAAAAAAATTTAAATTTGGGGCTGGGGATATGGCTCAAGCGGTAGCGCTCTCGCCTGGCATGCATGCGGCCCGGGTTCGATCCTCAGCACCACATATAAACAAAGATRTTGTGTCCACCGAWAACTAAAAAAAGAATAAATGTTTAAAAAAAAATTTAAATTTCAACCAGGCATAGTGGCACACACCTTTAATTCCATCTACCCAGGAGGCCAAGGCAGGAGAATTGCAAATTCAAGGCCAGTCTGGGCAACTTAGTGAGACCCTGTCTCAGAACAAAAAATAGAATGGACTGGAAGTGCACCTTGGTGGTAGAGAACGCTTGGTGAGCCCTAGCACCACAAAAATAAAAAATGTGGAAAAAAATTTCAAAATTTTAATTCTTATACTTAGGTCTTAATGTGTTTTGAATTAAATTTTGTGCATAGTTTAGGTTTAGGGGTTCAATTTCTTTTGCATGTGGCTAAGTAGTTAAACCAGTCCCATCTGCTTATAGAGTATTTTTTCCCCCACTGAATTGTAAAACTAGGAGAATGTCTGAAATTAGCCAAACCACACAGTTTAAAACCGGCTATCAAGTTTAGAGGATACATGGCCTTCCAAGGCCTTACTCCCCATTCTGACACCAACTGCAAGTTCAAAGTATTTCAGAAATCATCCTGGGGTTTGATAATTCACTAAAACTCATGTAAGTTGTTACACTCGTGGTTACAGTTTATTAAAGGGAACTGATACAAATTAAAATCAGCTAAAGAGACACAAAGGGCAGAGTCTCAAAGGGTTCCAAATGTAAAACTTGCATACTCCTCTCTTATGGAATCAGGATGCATTACCATCCTGGCACAGGTGTTTTGCAATATACCTGAAGTTTTGCCAACTAGTTGTTGTCTGGAATGTTGAGGGTTTTTTTGGGGGGTGGGGGTGGGGGGTGGCTTCATCACAAAGGCATAATTGATTTAATTACTTACGTGGTTGAACTCAGTCTCCAATTGACTAATAACCAAGTTACTCAAAGGCCCCACCCTAAGTCACATGGTTTTTCTTTCTGGCGTGGCCAATCTTCACCCCAAGACTATTGGGTGAGGCAGTTCTAACTACAACCCACAAACAAAAAGGTACTTCTTTGAGATATGGCATAGATTACCTCCCAAGATACCAGACATTTCATTGGATATGGCCAAATTTTTTACTACTCTGGGATAGCCCGCTTTTCAAGGGCAGAATTGAGATGAGAATGAGTTTTTAAAATTACCTTCATTTTGCACATAAGGAATCTGAGGCTTATAAATTGAGTGCCTTTTCTGAATGATGAAGCTAGGGTGCAGACCTATGCCAAAGTCCTACAATCAGATGCCACTCATCAGAACTGCTCCATTGCACAACTCCAGGGGCTCTATACACTGTGTTGTTCCCTGTTAATGGCTTTTTTTGGGGATTGTACAGTGAAGCACCTTGTATCCCAGCTCCCTTGAATAATATATACCATCTGACTAAAAGCATTATACTTGCTGCATTGATATAGCTTTCAGACAAGTTCTCTGTTTTTTTTGTTGTTGGTGGTGGTGGTGTTTGTTTGTTTGKTTTTTKTTGTTGTTGTTTTTTAACCAGGTTTGAAAATATACAACTCAGATCACCTTTGTGTAATGATCACCCTGTTTTAAAACACCCAATGGTTGCCTCATCTCTTCTGGGTTGATGTGAACATCATTGAAACTCTTGCTTTTCTGTTTTCCTTCTCAGGCTGCTGTGCAAGACAGGCTGAATGAGCAAGAGGGTGTACCCAGTGTTTTCAACCCACCTCCATCCCGACCCCTACAGGTTAATACTGCTGACCACAGGATCTACAGCTATGTTGTCTCAAGACCACAACCAAGGGCAAGTTACTTTGTAGTTGGCATTTCCCCCTTTGTGATTTTATAAATTCATTCCCTTGATTCTTTTGATCTCTGTTTGGTAGGAGTGAAAGAAATATTCAGAATGTGAACATGTTAGCTAGACCTGGGGCCCTTGGTAGATTTAGTGAATTATAATTTTATTTGATTTTTAAATAAATTAATTAACATAGAAATTATCATTTTTTTTGTTCTTTGCCAGTTATTTGAAGTGTTTTCTGTGCCTCGTTTTGAATATCTGAATGGTTCATTTACATGTGTAAAATTGTTTACTACACATTTAATAGATCACCCACTTTTAAATTAAAATCTCTTGACCAAGTCTTTGTTGCTTCAGTTAATTTCAGCTACTTTTGAGAAAGTGTTTGGAATCCATTGAAGTCCTCTACCACATCTTCAAAGTTAATATTGAAGGGTTAATAAGCAAAGAGGAGTTTCACTTAAGTTTGACAGGCATTTAAGAGCTCCAGTAACCTGATTTTTTTTTTGGGGGGGGGCGTCTAGAGGTGGAGTCCCATTTCAAATTTTAATTTCTCAATAGTCTAGTTAGGGAAGTCATATAATATTTATTTATTGATAATGAACTCCATAGAACTTCTTGGAATTTCTCTTTCTTGAGATTACATCCACTTCTTATACATGCATTCAGAATCCTAAGAAAGCATCCCCTTTAACCTTGGAGCTGTAGACTTTACTCTGTCATCATACTTTTGTGGAGTACTTGATATTTTTTAATATGTTTTTGGTTTTTGGTACTAGAGATTAAACCCAGGGGTGCTTTACCACTGAGCTACATCCATCCCCCGTCCTTCTTATTTTTTACTTAAGTTGCCCAGGCTGGCCTTGAACTTGGGATCCTCCTTCCTCAGCTGGGATTACAGGTGTGTGCCACTATACCCAGCAGAATACTTGATGTTTTAAAATTAGAGTTTAGGCAGGAGGATCATGAGTTCAAGGCCAGTCTGGGCAACATAGCAGAACTCTGTCTAAATAGATAAATACAGTCAGTACTGTTTAAGTACAGTAGTTCATCATTATCCTGAAGGTTACATTTCAAGACCTCTAGTAGATTCTACTGTCTAAAACTATCAATGGTACCAAACCTTGAACATCTTCCATCTTTTTTGTGGGGGGAGCTCCTGGGGATTGAACCCAGGGGTACTCTACCACTGAGCTACACATAGTCCTTTATTTTTATTTTGAGACAGGGTCTCGCTAAATTTCTGAAACTGGCCTCAAACTTGATGATCCCCTTGCCTTAGCCTCCCTGGTTGTTGTCTTTTCCATCTTACCTAAGCACCTATCACATACTATGGATGTAACTTTCTCTTTTTTCTTCTTCTTCTTCTTCTTTTTTTTTTTTTTTTTTTTTTTTTTGGTGGTACTGGGGATTAGACTTGGGGCCTCACACATGCTAGGCAACTGCTGTACTCCTTCCAGCAGTAAATTTTGCAGTTTGTGGTACAACAGCAAAACTAGCATGGATTTTTTTTTCCTTCACAATTTCATGAATAAAGATTTGTTCTTACCATATATCTTAGCAACCTCAGCATAGAATATTTTTCTCTTTCTTATTTATGCCTTTTCACTTAAAGGAAACACCTTCTAATTTTTTTTGACATATCCAGATTGGCAACATCACTAATAATTTGCTTTGGAGCTATTATCAAGTAAAGTAGGGCCTACTTTAACACAAGCACTGCATTACCTTGACAGTTAATCTGATGATTAAGATGGCCACTCATTGACTAATGGGTAGATATAATATACAGTACACTGAACAAAGGGGCAATTCATATCCTGGGTGGGATGGAGTAGGGTAGAGTGAGATTTTTATCACAATAAGAACAGCATGCTTAGGGGGGATAGTAGGGGATAGGAAAGGTAGCAGAATACAACAGTCACTAATATGCCATTATGTAAAAATGTGAGTATGTAACAGATGTGATTCTGCAATCTGTATTTGGGGTAGAAATGGGAGTTCAAAACCCAATTGAGTCAAATGTATGAAAGATGATTTATCATGAGCTCTGTAATGTTTTGAACAATCAATAAAAAAACAGCATGCTCTTTAAAACTTATGAATTCTTTATTTCTGAATTTTCCATTTAATATCTTCAAATCTTGGTTGACTATATAGGTAACTGAAACTGCAAAAAGTAAAACTGTGGATAAAGAGGAGGGCAGCTACCATACTTGTTTTAAGATATTCTGAGGCAGAAGAGTATAGATTCCTAAAGAATTATATAACTCATAGAGTAGTTCTGTGTATGCCCAGTGTTTCTCTATCTTGCTTTAGGCTTACTAGGTATTTGAGACCCTAATGTCAACTGTGGGGCTCCAGAGTTCCCTGGCTGTCTCAGGTTAGCACAATATGATATCTGAGCAGTGCTTTGTAATCTACAGAACCCTGTATGTTTACTAGTTAATAATAACAACAGTAATAATCATATTAATATTTAGTATTAATACTAAGCCTATCAGCCATATGAGGATTTGTTATTGTGGTAATATACTTATCATTTACATACAAATGTCCAAGTAGATCTTTCTATATCTACATACTATATATATATATATATATATATATATATATAATCTAGAAAGAAAAGAATGAGTATTATTATTTGGAGAGGCAAACTTATGGTTGAATTTGATAGCCAGTGGAAGTAGCTGCAGGAAAAGTGTTAAAGGAGATGTCAGGTAAAAAAAAAAAAAAAAAGGAAAAACAATAGTATTAAATGGAATGAGATCAAAGGCCGGAGCATTTGAGAAGGACAAGGTTTTATGGGCTGGGGATGTGGCTCAAGCGGTAGCRCGCTCGCCTGGCATGCGTGCGGCCCGGGTTCGATCCTCAGCACCACATACCAACAAACATATTGTGTCCGCCGAGAACTAAAAAATAAATATTAAAAAATTCTCTCTCTCTCTCCCCCACTCTCTCTAAAAAAAAAAAAAAAAAAAAAAAAACAAGTTTAAGACCAGCCTGGGCTCTCATTAAGTTTAATGACACTGACTCAAAAAGAAAATTTAAAAAGAGCTGGGGACACAGCTCTTTGAAAATAGTGCTTGCCTAGCATGCACAAGGCCTTGGCTTTAATCCCTAGTACCCTGCACATGCGTGCATGCCCCCCAAACCCCCTGCCACAGACACACACACACACAAACACACACAAACACACAAGGAGAAGGTGATGAGGAAGAGGGGAAGAGGAGTATCATAGTGGGGGAAATCACATGAAAGGATAAAAAAGTGCAAAAATTTGAACTACCTATTTTGTAAGTTATTAGAGATTGGAAGAATAGTCTCTAACTTTGTTTTTGGAATTTCAGGGGCTGCTTGGATGGGGTTATTACTTGATAATGCTTCCATTCCGGTTTACCTATTATACGATACTTGATATATTTAGGTATGTACCTCTATATTTATGTATTAATAACAACAGTGTAGACCTTGGGACTGAAGCTTAGATGAGCATAAATTTTATGCTTTTATTAATTTTGACTTGCCAGTTTGTTATCAGATTGAATATTCTTCCTGAACTTTTACTATAGTTTAAAATATTTTAAGTTGTTCAAGCATAGTTGCAGATGTTATATAATGGAATTGTTTTAAATTAGTCTTGTCTGTTTGCAAGAATCAATCTGCCTACATTTATTGGTCACCCCTTTCTCCCTCCACCATGTTTGTCACTTCTACATTTCCTAGTTAATCCCCACATCCTTTACTTTCTAACCACCATTATCTCCTAACTTCACACTCCTTGGAACTTTTATCCTAAACTGCTTCTCCATCTGACTACTCATAATCTCAACAAATTCTCTTGTCTGAGGTCACCTACTTTGCCCTGGATTCCTCCTACAATAGTGGCATCTCTCTAGGCACTCTGTCATGTACATTTCCCTCTACCCTGACAATCTCTAGGATGCTGACACTGGATCCCTTTTGCATATACACTCACTTGCTTCATAACTTCACCTTCTAGCTTCCTTCATGTTACAATCAAAGAGCTCATTGTTGGAGGCTACAGAGGGTCCAAAGTTAGGAAATGCTGAGTGGAGCCTGACTTTCAGATTTGGTGTATCTGTCTAGAGCCACACCTAAGCTATATGGGAAACGAACATGTTTTGGATATTCAGTCCAGTAGGTGGAGCTAGAAATGTGACCTGTGCCTTGCATACAGTATAACCTTTACCTTCCTCCAAATATGGGGTTGGCTTTGCTCTGCTCTAAGGAGCAGAAGCTGGGAGTGATGGGCTAGAAGTTAGGACCTAGCAGCTACAGAAATTTAAGGATCAGATAATACCTTGGCCTCTTGGTGTTTTATGAGACTGTCTGCTTAATGGCTTCCTTGCTTTAGCGAAGTTCTTAATGGCCACTAATTACCTGCTTGGTACTTTTTCATCCTTGTAGGAATGGGCACATTTAAAACCTTTAAAATCATAATGAAGACTCTGTCCTAAATTGTGTTGGCTGTAGGAATGTGTTGTGATGAGAAATAAAAAAGTTAAAATCTTTATCCATTTCTCAAATTTTGAATGCTTAAAAAGATAACCCTAAAGTATTTCAGAGAAAGTAGACAATATCAATTTTATGCAACATTTCTAATGACTCTCTTACATACACAACTTATTACATTTTGTGTTTCTTATTTTCTGTGGAATGTTTGTGTCAATGAATTTGGTTTGGTTACTCAGAAAAATATCTAGTGTAATTATATACACATGGGGGATTTGTTGAGGGGTGAAGTAATTGGCTTAGAATTTGATAAAGAAGATGTCATAGTTTAGTCACCTTTTCTGTGCTGAAAGTTCAAGTAAATGACTATTGTTTGCTTTCTTTGGGAAAATATGCATGGCATGTGTTACTAATTTTAATGCAGCTGTATCATCCAGGCAACTTGTTTATGTTGTGTAGCACATTGGCCCCTGCCCCATTGCCTTCTATGGAAGCTTGAAGCATAAAGAAATGGTGCTATACAAATAGAATGGGCTCTTTAGGAATAGATGTGTGTTACCATCAGGTAATGCATCCTTAACTTTACAGTAGCTACCCATACTATAAATCTGTCAGTATATCGTGGATTATTTTAAAAAATCTTCCTTCATGGACACATCAACCATAAATTATCAAGCCAAATTTACTTGCCCCTTTGAAGAGCAAGTAAATCACAAAAAGTTCAGGATTGAAGTCTCAGTCCATAATTTGAATTGCTTTGGAGTTTCAACAAAAATCCAAAATACCAGGAGAACAGAAACAAGAGAGATGGGCAAATAGGACAAATAGAAAGAGGTGTCTGTTCTAGATTAGCACTGTCTAGTAGAACTTTCTGTGATGATGGAATCATTCTATCTCTGCACTGTTCAGTATGGAAGCTAATGACCACATGGCTGTTAAGCACTTGAAATGTGGCATGTCTGACTGAGGCATTGAATTTTTAATTGTTTTGACTTAATAACATTTAAATTTAGGATAGCCATAGTGGCTAATGGTCAGTGCTACTCTATTAAACAGTGTCTGGGAGCATGGCCTGACCCCTAGTCTTTTTTACCATAGTATCTTCCTTTTCCACCCCTTCTGGTTCTCAATTTTTCTGCAGAAAGCACTCCAGTCATTTGTTTAGGCCAATGTTGGTATTTATAATCCTAGTAGTTTGCATTCTTCTTGAACAGGCCATGGAACAACACTTGCAGCTTTATGGCTTTTGAGCCAGATTCTACTCCCAGGTTTGATGATCCACTTAGACCATTCACCTCCCTTTGCTGCCATGCCTCTGGCTCTGTTGTAGGAAACTGTACAAACTGGCCCACTCCATATGCACTACAGTAACCTGGATTCATGTGATTATTTATTCCTTCTTCCCCAGGTTTGCTCTTCGTTTTATACGGCCTGACCCTCGCAGCCGGGTCACTGACCCCGTTGGGGACATTGTTTCATTTATGCACTCTTTTGAAGAGAAATATGGGAGGGCACACCCTGTCTTCTACCAGGGAACGTACAGCCAGGTCAGTGCCACAAACCATGTAGATGCCAACTTACTGATATGATTCGTTCTCAAAGGAAAGCATAGCCCAGCACTGATCATGTCTTTTACTCTAAAATCTTAAATAGCTCTTCACTGCTTACAGGGAAAGAAAACAACAACAACAACAACAACAACAAAAAAAAAAAACTGTACCTTTTAGCTGGGCCCTCTTTGATCTAATTCCAATGTTCTTTTGAGGTCTTTTTGCATAACTTATTTCCCTATATCCTATGTTCTGGCCAAACCCTTCCCTCAACACACTCGATACTTTCCTACCTCTGTGCCTTTGCTTTTGCTATTCCCTCCACATGGAATGCCTTCCTCACATTTTGGCTAATTGAAATCTTGCCCATCTTCAACCAGCTCATGTCATTCCCCTTTCTAACCATTCTAATTATTGTGTTCTGTCCTGCTCTACCTTGTAGTCTAAAATATTAATTTCTCCTTTTGTTCTCCCCCTGCCCTTTTAAAATTTATAGCATTTTCCACTTCCTCCTTATAATTATTTGAGTTCATGTCTTATATCCTTTACCAGACTGTACATGGCTTGAATGCAAAGGCTAAATCTTTCGTGACCCCTTACAGAATTGAATAAAGTTATAAGTCTTAGATTCAGGGTAGCTCATCTCATTTATCCTAAGCCACATAGACCTCTGACTATCACCTCCTAGGGGAGGAAAACTTTGGAGTTCTCTGGGTGTTAGGTATTTCTCTAGTTGGTCAGAGAAAAAGAGAATTAAGACTGTGGATATTGGCAAAAGGGTAGTTTTATTCTGCAGCCTTTAGAATTCCTGAATCTATCTAGAGAAAGAGAAAACTGCTTATCCTTGCTTCTGCTTTGATTTTTCCTATATCTGCTTTTTCTCACAGTTATTCTCCTTGCTGGCTGCTACCACTGCAGCCAACCAGCAGCAAGCATCTACTAATGGCATTAAGGCCCTGTGCTGAATGCTGGAGACACAGGGATGAAAAAGATGGGCACCACTCATGTACCCTCTTTGCTGTGATCCTAGGGGTAGACCACCATTGGCCATTCAGAAAATAATTAAAGTAAATGGTGCTCAAAAGTAAACACATGCAAAAGTATAAACAAGACTCTTGGACACTAGCCTTAACTTTGAGAATCTTTTAAATCCTGTGCTCCTTAGAATGACTTTGGGTCCCATAATCCTTCATTCCTGCTTGTTATGTGGCCTATGATCAGGGTCATCTTCGCAGGTTTTTTTTTTTTTTTTCAAGGATATTATTTATAGCTGTGAAGTAACAGTTCTCACCTCCCTTTTCACCTGGTCAGATTCTCCTGTTTTTTTCTTTAGACTGTGGAACAGCTGGCTTTTCTGTGATTTGTAGGGAACCTTTGTATGTCAGCTTGTCTACTTTCATGTGCTTGATACAATTTAAATCCTAACAACTCTAAAACCTTTTTATTAAAGCTTATTAGTATGGACTTTTTATGGGGAGAAAAATACCAGGGGTGCAAAGGTAGGAGCCCAAGATCTTTTTAGGTTTCTTGCTCACATTTTTTCCTTATTTTTCTTTTTTTCATGTTTGTAGTGTATATGTTAGGACCCTTAGCCTCAGTAAAAGGTCAGGGCACTGTTTTTATAATAATTAGTGATCTTCTTTTTCTTATAGGCACTTAATGATGCCAAGCGGGAGCTTCGCTTTCTTTTGGTTTATCTTCATGGAGATGACCACCAGGACTCTGATGAGTTCTGTCGGTAAGTTAATTAATTGTTTTCTTTCTCTTTTCTGACCTTTCTGCTGACAGTTTATAGTCAACAAGTTGTTCTTACTTCTTTTCATCCTTTTCCACAGCAATACTCTCTGTGCACCTGAAGTTATTTCACTAATAAATACGAGAATGCTGTTCTGGGCATGTTCTACAAACAAGCCTGAGGGATATAGGGGTAAGTTGTGTTTCTTTTGCCTTATTGAGATTATTGGGGTATCTTTGCCAAGGTCTTGAAAGACCCACCATGTCATTTRTAACATGACTGTTCTGTGGTAGACACTGTACTAGATGTGGTTTTTATATTATGTTATTTAATCTTCTTAGCAATCATGAAAGGATTGTATTACTTCTACTTTGTGGCTTAGGAAACGGTCTCAGAGAGTTTAAGCCTCAGGCTTGAGATCACATAGTTAATAAATTTTAGAGCAAGATCAGGTCTGACAGACTTTCATTCTTTACAGTTAACCATTGCCAGAGACTTTTATTTTTAAAAATGAGCCTTAGCTAGCAATTTGCACTTTAATCTCAATGGTATTTTTATTGAAGAATTTATTCTCCTCATCAGCAATTTTAACAGAGCTTCTTGCATAGTGAGTTAGCTGTTTGAGTACCTGGAGTGCTGATATGGACTTAGGAAGCTCAGGTCTTTGCTGACAGTAACTCTTAATTGGAGATAAATATTTTTAGAAGTCATTAGAAGATATGAAGACATCCAGTGAAGAAAAAGGCATTGTTCTGTAGCTCCTTGTCTCCAGCAGCCCTGAGTGTGTGATAGCATGTCAGGCATTATGCTGATCTTAAGAACCAAAGATGCAGCAGGTGTTTTCTTTGCATCCTGGAATCTGAATCTTTTTACTCCCTAATTATGTCTTAAACATCTGATATGTTCCTGCAGCATACATTTTGCCATTCTAACATGGCTTTGTGAGGCTGGTAATGGAGATGAAGAGAAGAAACTAAGGATACTTTTTATAGAGATTTATAAAATCCCTTTTTATAAGGAAAATGGAACTCCATTATGGTCAAATTTTGGTTATTTGGAGACCATCTTTCTTTCTCCTTTGGAGCAGAACAGGTAGCCTTTTTAGACCAAGGGAAAGTAATAAGGAAGGAAATTAAGCAAGAAAAAGAAAAGATAGAAGATGATGTTGGGAATCATTGCCAGTAGCATCAGGCTAGGTGAGACTTGTAAACTTGTCCCCTTTTAGGCTTGACCCCTAGGGTGAACTATGCTAAACAGTACAAAGATTTTTTTATAGATCCTTTTCCTATCATTAGGAAGATATTGTCTTTGAAGTCTGCAGTATACTAACCACACCCCTGGAAAGCCTGTCCTATTCTAATTAAGCACCTAGGTGTGGGGATTCAAAAATATAACAAAGAGAGCTGGGCGAGGTGGTGTAAACCTATAATCCCAGCAGCCGAGGCTGAGGCAGGAGGATCACAAGTTCAAAGGCAGCCTCAGCAAAAGTGAGGCCCTAAACAACTCAGTGAGACCCTGTCTCAAAATACAAAAATAGGGCTGGGGATGAGGCTCAGTGGTCAACTACCCCAGAGTTCCATCCTGGTAACCTCCCTCCCCGCCCACCCCTAAAGAGAAAAGATTAAGAATCTAAGAAGGGAGCTGGGCACGGTTGTGATCCCAGTGCCTTGGGAGGCTGAGGCAGGAGGACCTCAAATTCAAAACCAGCCTCAGCAAAAGTGAGGTGCTAATCAACTCAGTGAGATCCTGTCTCTAAATACAAAATAATAGGGCCGGGGATGTGGCTCAGTAGTTAAGTGCCCCTGAGTTCAATCCCTGATATTAAAAAACAAACAAACAAAAAATGTCTAGGAAGGGAAAAGAGAAGCAGAGATGAATATTATTTCCCATTTATCTCAACTGGGATTAAAGCAGTTTTCTCTCTCCCTTTATGGAAAATTTGAGAGTTGATTTATTTTATCCCCAAATTCTACCCTTAATCTCTTGGATGTTTCTGTCAGTCTCACAGGCTTTACGAGAGAATACCTATCCATTCCTGGCCATGATTATGTTGAAGGATCGGAGAATGACTGTGGTCGGACGGTTAGAGGGCCTCATTCAACCCGATGACCTCATTAACCAGCTAACATTTATTATGGATGCAAACCAGACATACCTGGTGTCAGAACGCTTAGAAAGGTATGAGAGACTTTCTGAAAGGAAGAGATCAGTTTGTGTATCTGGAGGGCTGACCTGGGACTCCACAAATCCTTTTTCCCTTCTCTTAAGCAATTTTAATAGTGCTTCCTAATTGGGGTCAAGATGTTTGCATGTTTTGACCTGAATTACTCTACATCATTTCATCTATTCTTAGAGGTATAAATCAAAATATAGGGTTTTATCCTCAGGAATGAGTATTGTGAGCCGGGCATGGTGGTACTTACTTGTAATCCCAGCAATTCAGGAGGCTGAGGCAGGATTGCAAGTTTGAGGCCAGCCTGGGCAACTTAGACCCTGATAAAATAAATTGAAAAGTGCTGGGAATGTAGTTCAGTGGTACTGTGTCCCTGGATACAGTCCCCAGTACTGGAAGGAAAAAAAAAAGGGAAGAAAGTATAAAACAAGAATGTATATTTGTTCAACCATTTTGATTGGCTAAATATTTGTGCTATGTGAAAAAATAGGAAATACACCAAATTGTTATGATATTTTATGTTTTTAGTGGAATTCATTTTTGGTCATGGGGATGGTGTGATAGGGGTTGTTATTGTGGTTAGTAGAATTCTGAATAATTTTTCCACCTTTTCAAATCTTTTATGATGTATATATGAGCCAAGTGCTATGTATACAATAGTGCAGTAATTTAGAAGGGTATTTATAAAATACAGTATTGATGATTATTTCAAAATAATAATAATAATGTTATGATAAAGGATAAGCTTTTATTTTAAAAGTTAAAAATTGAGAGGGAAGCTTGTAATTTCTTTTCCTGCCAACTTATACTGAGGAAAGAGATGGCTCTTTCAGATTCTGCCATTCTCTGCTTTTAAAATCCTTCAGAGGATCAACATTTTCACCCTGTTCCAAATTTTCAACATAAAAATTCACAGAGGTCTGGGGATATGACTCAGTACTGCATGAAACTCTGGGTTTAATCCTGAATGCCACACACAAAAAGAGGGGCGGGAGGGGGGAATGTAAACACAGAGCTATGTGAAATTGCTGTTTTCCCTTTTATACTTCTGATCTGTTCATAGGGAAGAAAGGAACCAGACCCAGGTGCTGAGACAACAGCAGGATGAGGCCTATTTGGCCTCTCTCAGGGCTGACCAGGAGAAAGAAAGGAAGAAAAGGGAGGAACGGGAGCGGAAGCGGCTGAAGGAGGAGGAGGTGCAACAGCAGAAGCTGGCAGAAGAGAGAAGGCGACAGGTGATGGAGCATGCCTCTGTTCTCTGTGATTCCCAAACTACTGAGATTGCTTAAGTGTGAAAGGAACCTGGTGTTGACACACACCAGCAATTCCAGCTACTTGGGAAGCTGAGGCAGAAGGATCTTAAATTCAGCGTCAGCCTGGAGAACTTAGAGAAATTAAAAAAAAAAAAAAAGTGGAAAAAAATGTGAAAAAGAAAACATGAAAGGAAAAATTATGTGGTAATTATGGGTGATTTATAATTTTTTGACCTTATTCATTCTTAGTACTAGTGTAAGCTGATAACACATTTCAGTAATGTACTTGTTATAGCCAGGGTCTTTTAGCCATTACCCTTTTCCTCAAATAGTCTAATACCTGAACATGGTCAGTAAATAACATATGTGATGCAATAGTTGTTTCTTGTCTCTTGCCAGGGGTTTTTCTGAGAGTAATTAGTTATTAGTTTTTCTTCTGAGTGCATAATAAACCTACATGATCCTGTTTCTGTAGTTGAGCTGTATTCACCTTTGCTTTTGTCTCTACAGAACTTACAGGAGGAAAAGGAAAGGAAGTTGGAGTGCCTGCCTCCTGAGCCTTCCCCAGATGACCCTGAAAGTGTCAAGATAATTTTCAAATTACCCAATGATTCTCGAGTAGAGAGACGRTTCCACTTTTCACAGTCTCTAACAGTAAGCATCACTTAAGTGGGTTGAAGTGTTTCTGACATCTGGGCCATAGGTCTAGAAGCTTTTATAGCCCTAATTCCTTATTTGTTTTTGTTCTATTTTGTTTTGTTTGTTTCTGTATTTTGCAGTGCTGGGGATTGAACCCAGGGCTTTGTGCATGCTAGGCAAGCACTCTACCATTGAGCCTCTACATAGCCTTCTGAGAGTGTTATTAGTATATCTTCAGCTCTGATGAAAAGGGAAAGAAACAAGAGAAGGGGTGTGACATCAGAAAACACCAGGAAGATTTCTTCTTTTCTGGCTATCAGCTCAAAGCACTTTTTTTTTTTTTTTTTTAATCTTTAAAAATCAAACCCAGTGTCTCACGCTTTCGAGACAAGCATTCTACCACTGAGCTACAACCCCAGCCTGAGCGCAAAGCTTTTTTTTTTTTTAAAAGGTTTTCTTTCATTATAATGTTTGAACTCTGCTAAACAAAAAAAAAAGAAGGCCATGTTCTTCCATGTCTTTGAGGTTCTTCCAGGTTCTCTTTTGGTATTGACTTCAGAACTCCTGGTTATTTAGAGAAAGCTTTGTCTTTGGTGACCTAAGAATCACTGAATTACATATCTGAATATAAGTAATTCAGGTGCCTTTATCTCTCCCTTTATGCCCTTCTTATCATATAAGAAGCCCCACTTCCTGAGGCTCCTTATTTATTTGAATCCATATTTGTTATTGTTATTTCCATAGGTAAGTAGTTAAAAGCAGAGACTCTTAGAGTCTCACAGAATGAGAACCAAACTGTCATATTACCAGAGTTACTAGATATATTTCTTTAGTTTCGATACATATCTAGCCTAAATTTCTTCATTGGTAAAATTGATATAGTAATATTACTAAGTTGCTTGCTCAAGTTACATGTTTACGTGGACATGTGGATTTTAGCTTGTATTACTAAGTTTCACAGTTTGTATGTCTGAGCTCTATGGAATTTCTAGCCCCAAAGCTCAGATAAAACTATATATAAAATAACCACAATTTACTCTTCTGAGAGTTTTAGAGAAAAAAATCTATTAAAATTGTGGAACATGGGCTGTGCTTTTGTAGCTCAGTGGTAGAGCACTTGCCTAACACATGTGAGGCACTGGGTTCAATCCTCAGCATCACATAAAAGTAAATAAATAAAATAAAGGTATTGTGTCTGTATACAACTAAAATTATTATTATTTTTTAAATTGTGGAATGTGGGCTGGGGATATAGCTTACTTGGTAGAGTGCTTGCCTCGCATGCACAAGGTCCTGGGTTCAATCTCCAGCACTCCCCACCCCTACCCCCAAAAAAATTGTGGAACAGAATAAGAATAGGCCTGTGATTAAAGGGGAACCAATTATTTCTTTTTTCCATATATTTTTTTATTGCTGCATTATAGTTGTACATAGTGGTGGAATTTGTTGTTACATATTCATACATGCACATAATATAATTTGGCCAATATCAGTCTTCAGTATTTCCTTTGGGAGCTCTTTTCAACTAAAGACTTGTAAATAGGTTTCTCCCTAAAAGATGTTTCTTAAAAAAGACCACCCTGCTGGGCCTGGTGTGCACATCTGTAATCCCTGTGACTCGGGAGGCTGAGTAAAGCYGGAGAATCATAGGTTTGAAGCCAGCCTCAGCAAATTAGCAAAGCCCTAAGCAGTTAATATTGAGATTCTGTCCCCAAATAAAAAAATAATAGGATATAATTTAGTGGTAAAACATCCTGGGTTCAATCCTCAGTACCAAAAAGAAAAAGAACATCATAACCAGCTGAGGCTGAAAGAAATGTTTGGTTTTAAATTGGGCTTGCAGAGGGAGAAAGAAAGTATAAAGGAGGAGAAGTGCAGTGCTGATTCTGGCCTGGAATTTAACATTCACAGACATAACAACATATAATCAGATAATGATTTAGAGGGTTTCAGTGTTCTTTAGATCTTGTGTCATTTTCCTATCAGCTCAGATCTCCACATATAATATCAGGGAATGACACATTTGCACATGATGCTCAGCTCTTGATAGTGGTAAAATGCTAAAATGAAAAAGGATAAAATCTCTAAATTCCATGAGTGGGCAGAAAAGTGGCATCTGGCTTTCTCTTAAATGTGTATAAAAGAGATCCAGTTTATACTCAGCCACACACTCATCTTTCTGTCCATTATAAACTAAAAAGGACATAATGTGGTGACATGTTTATTGGTGGTGTCAGCTCTTTTCATTGGTAAGTGAAAACATGCCAGTTTTATAAGAATATTGAATAGTCTCAAGCAATAATTGATATACAAAGTATTATTTCAGGGTTGGGGATGTGGCTCACTGGTAGAGCATTCGCTTAGCATGCATGGGGCCCTGGGTTCCGTCCCCAGCACCAGGAAAAAAAAATATATATATATTATTTTACCCTCAGATGAAACCTGTTTTGGGTTCATACCAAGAATACTTGATGTAAATCTAACTGATGCATCTTAAGAAAATGAGAGTTAGTATTAATGGAGATTGCAAAGAATCAGAAAATGCTTGAAGTTGATGGACTAAAATATGACAAGTTTATAAAGTCATTAGATAAGGGAGAAATAGATTTAATCCATAAATTCTAAAAATGTAGCTTCTTAAAATTCTCTGAAGAATTGAAGACAAAGGAGAGAAAGACTACTTCATGCAGAAGGGAATAAGCCCAGAAAATTCATTGTTCTGAGAGGTAGAACAAAAAGAAAATATATTCTTTTTTTTAATATTTATTTTTTAGTTGTAGTTGGACACAACACCTTTATTTCACTTGTTTATTTTTATTTTTTTTAAAGAGAGAGAGAGAGAGAATTTTAATATTTATTTTTTTTAGTTATCAGCGGACACAACATCTTTGTTTGTATGTGGTCCTGAGGATTGAACCCTGGCCGCATGCATGCCAGGCAAGCGCACTACCACTTGAGCCACATCCCCAGCCCCCACTTGTTTATTTTGGTATGTGGTGCTGAAGATCGAACCCAGGGTCTTGCAAGTGCAAGACAGTGCTCTACTGCTGAGCCACAACCCCAGCCCCCCCCCGCCAGGAGAAAATATATTTGGAGAAAATATATTCTTACAAAACAAAAGGAAGGATAATTTGAATGGTGTGTTCCTCATTTTGAGGGTTGACCTGAAACAAAGTAACACAATTCACAACACAGAGTCTTTGATAGAAATAGAAGCATGATGGAGACAACCTGTTCTTATTGTGGGCATTAAAAGATAGGGAGAAATAACCATGGCCTATATACAAGCATATTGTTCACACTTTAAGTTCTAGCAGTCTGAGTTCTGCTAACTGCCCACTTTGCACTAAATGTTTACSTGTAGCTTCTCAGAGCCAGAATAGGGTGAGGAATCCCTTCTCACAGAGGGAAGTCCATGTAAGAGTGTCACMTTTCCCCCAGGGCCTTACACATGCTAGGCAGATGCTACACCGTTGAGCATATATGTACCCAGCCTTTAACTTTTCTTTTTTTTAAGTCTTTTTTTTTTAAATATTTTATAGTTGTCAGTGGATTTTTTTATTTGATTAATTCATTTATATGCAGTGCCAAGGATCAAACCCAGGGCCTCACATATGCCAGGCAAGTGCTCTACCATTGAGCCACAACTTCAGCCCCCCAGCCCTTTTTAAATTTTATTTTTGAGGCAGGGTCTCAATAAGTTGCCCCAGTTGGCCTCTAACTTTCTACCCTCTTACCTCAGCTTCTTTAAGAATATAAAATCTTTTTCTTATTTATTTATTTATTTATTTATTTATTGGTGGGCACAGTACCTTTTATTTATTTTATGTGGTGCTTACGATCAAATCCAGTGCCTCACATGTGCTAGGCAAACACTCTACCACTTAGCCACAACCCCAGCCCAAATGTCAAATCTTGATCAGGTTAAAGAGTGTGTTTACATGAATGGCAACTCAAATCTGAGTCCAGATAGCTCAGGTTGGTGTCTAAAAATCTGAACATAATAAGAATATACATAGAAAGTCATAGATTTACAGATTTAAAGTTTTGGTTTTATACACACATGTACTAGATGTGGGAGTTTGTATATATGTTTATCCATACCTACATAGGCATATTCTCCATAGTGAGTGCCTAGAAACAGCACCTCCCATTCAAAATGAGCATACTCAGCACCAAGATCTTGGCTTTTGAATACCATTGTCCATTAAGAAAACAGGGCTGGAGATGACGTTCTGTTGTAGAGCACTTGCCTAGCATGCATGAGGTCCTGGACTCACTCAATCTCTAGCACCACAAAGAAGAACTAGATCTCTCTGGAGGACATGCCTGATTCCAGGTCTTGGACAAGGAATATAAAAGATTATCCTAGAACATCTTGACCCTGCAAGCAAGGAATAGTTCGGAAATTGATGACATGTTAGACACTGAAGGCAGCCATTCATGGTGACTGTATCTGGAGTAGTTTGAACATTAAAATAATGATTGTAACATTATAACCTATTGAGTAAAATAGGAAGACAGAAATTTGTATTGCTACAAATAAATGTAAATGTTTAAGGAACAGAATATCTTCATAGTTTCAGAGTGTTTGATAGAAATAGAAATATATCCTATCCCCAAAATATATCCTAACTGAAGAAAAAGCATAACTTCAGTGGAGAGGCCTGGCAGACACCAACTGAAACAGATAATCAAAATGAACATCATAGATAATGGAACAAATTAAAAATGTGCTCCAATTGAATAGGGTACATTGAATAGAGTGTAGCATCATTTCCGAAATACTCCTATCAAGGATGCACAACCTGAATTTGATTATAAATAAATATCAGACAAACTGAAAGACATTCTGAAAAATATTTGACCATACTTTATATACAAATTGATTTCTTCTGAACTAAAGGAGATTTAAGAGTCATGACAAATGTAACAGTTCTAAACTAGATCATTTTTGCTAGAAAAGACAATTGGCAAAACTTAAGTAGGGCCCAAATAATGTAATATAGTCCAACCCTCCCTATCTGTGAGTTKTGCATCTATGGATTTAAGCAACACAGATCAAAAATGTAATGTCATTATTTATTCTCTAAACAATACAGAAGATAAACAACATATAGCATTTACATTGTTAGATATGATAAGCAATCCAGAAATGAGTTAAGGTTATTCATTTTATATAAGGGACTTGAGCATCTGGGGATTTTGGTATCCACAATGGGGTCCTGGAACCAATCTCCCATGAATACTGAGGGATATATTGTATTATGGTAATAATTTGTCAATTAGATTTCCTGATTTTTTTATACCTTTATTTTATTTGTCTATATTTATGTGGTGCCGGGGATCGAACTCAGTGCCTCATGCATGCTAGGCAAGCACTSTGCCCACTGAGCCACAACCTTGGCCCCTAGATTTCCTGATTTTGAAGGCAGTATTGTCATCATGTAGAAGGTTGTCCTGTTTGTAAAACATACATACCTTCAAGAATTTGGGGGTGATGAGACATCAGGTTGGCAGCTCACTCAGACCTGGTTCAAAGAAAAAAAAAAAATTCTATATCCTACACATCCAGATTTTTTGTAACTTTGTGATTATTTTAAAGTGTTTTTTTTTTTTTTTTTGAACAGATGAATCAATTCAGAGTAGGACTAATATTGATCTTGGGTGATTTCWTTTTAAAGGACTACTCCACATATTTGTTCTGGTAAATGGGAACACCTGAAAATTCCAGTGTAATATGACTGCTTCATGTCCCATAATCATCTTAGGAAGAGTTGGGTGCCATTTGACTTTTATAGTGGTACGTGCATCTCTTTTTCTCACTATCATTCTTTTTCTATATGACTTCTGCAGGTAATCCACGACTTCTTATTCTCCTTGAAGGAAAGCCCTGAAAAGTTTCAGATTGAAGCCAATTTTCCCAGGCGGGTACTGCCCTGTGTTCCTTCAGAGGAATGGCCCACCCCTCCTACACTGCAGGAGGCGGGACTCAGCCATACAGAAGTTCTCTTTGTTCAGGACCTAACAGACGAATGACACTTTTTCTTCCTCTCCCCCTCCTACCCTAATCCCTAAAAGAAATGGAGAAAACAAAAAAAGAGAGTAATTCATATTATTATTATTATAATACAATATTTTTTTTAAAAGACTGCTGCATCCTAAGGAAGGATCAGAAACCATGCTGCCTGCAAGAGTCACAACCTGTGTGTGTGCACGAGGTTAGCAGTGAACGTACCCACTTGGCAAACTCACCCATCCCTATGGCCTCCATACCATGCATCTTCCAAGTGAATGGAGACTCTTCACCTCCAACCCGTCCATTGTCCCAACTGGGAAAGGGGACATTCCCACTAGTTTCCATTCATTCTTGCTTTTATGGAAAATAAAAGTGAAAAACCTCTATCAACCAGCTACAGCAGCATCTCCTGAGGACTTGCTTCTTTCACCTCTGGAGAAGAGAGGGAAGAGAAAGCACAGAACAGAGATGTTCCTTGAACTGCCACAGTTTATGTATAACTTTGTTTCTCTTGCTTTGTAATGACCAAAGGATTGAGGCTGACATAGGTTTATTTCTTTTCCTTAACATTGTTTGATAAAGAACCAATTCTTAAACATGAGTTTATGCCCTGGGCTCCTTTAGCCCATAATAGTGTAATAAAGGTGCCCCGGGCTGGTTTGTGCTTATTTCTGCTATTGCCCCTCTCGTGTTCCCAGAGAGGTCCCATTTTGGTCCAACTCTTGCCGTCCTTTCTTACCACCTAACCACCCCACTTGGAGGAATAGAGGAATCTGTAGCCCCACAAAGGCCATATATGTACAGATTACACCCATGTGTGTGGTGAACGTTCACCTTTACATACAACTGCAGCTTTGCCTTGGATCTGTACCAGGTGGTGGTGAAGGATCCGAACCAAAGGATAGCAGCTCTTCATTCCTCTTCTGACATTGCATGCTGCTTCTCCCAGCTTTTCTGAATTGCCAAGCGTGGTGCCTTCCCAAGGACTGACATGGCCTGCTGTGGAGCCAGCAGAACCACATGAGAGTGCCCTACCTGTCAGTGGAAGTGTGTTTTAAGTATGGAACCAGAGGAGAGGTCCTGAAGAGAAACAAGACTGGACTCCCAGCCTTTGTAAGCTGTTGAAAGGCACAGATCACTTTCTGATGTAGCTACCAGCTGGAGGCGGTGGTATCCTCTCCCTCTATTGCTGTATTGAAGTAATAGTTTCCCCCCACCACCTCTGGATGTCTTGTCTGTGGTTGAGTGTATGATAATGGGTACATGGGTCAGGCTATGTATTAACATGCTATTGTTCAATAGCTTGATGGGTGCAGGCTTATACATGGAAGCCTTCAGGAGTCCTATGGTTGCTAGCATGCTATGAAGGGCAGGGCTTCAGGTCAGGTTTAAAAGTACAACTTGATAGATAGGTTTTAGTTAATCAACAGAGAAAGCCTTTGAAGACGACATATCTACCTAAGGACCACTTTCTTTACTAGTAGTAATAGGCTTACTGTTCTCTCAGCCCTCTGCAGGTTTGTTGAAGTAAACACCATGGGACTGAGGGAGGTACCTCATCCATAATACCTGGGTAGTGTGAGAATTTTCCAGTGACCTTGATACAGGAATCTAGAACACCATCTGTAGGGAAAGTAGTTCTGTTCCTACCTGCCTATCATCCTTCCACTTGGTTTCCTGCTGTCCCAGAGCCAGATGGGTGGAAAACTACCCCCTCACAAATTCTCAAAATGTGTCTGGAGTGGACATCAGATGAATGATGTTCTCCACTCAACCTTGGATGAAGTGTGCTCATTGACAACCATGCAAAGAGGAATTTCTCCACTCAGAGCCTCCCTCTCTGTTTGAAATTCACAGCTGTTTCCCTGGCAGCACATGGGAGGGTGTGAAGGACCTTCATTAGGCTGGGTGTACAATGTAAGTATTTTGCCCACATCTCCTTGGGGAAGTTATTTTTTTCTCCAGTCTCATTCTAAAATGTGCACTTTATGCTTCTTGCCTTTCTTTGATAACTGTTTAGTAAAGGAGGTCAGATGCCAGAAAATTAAGACAAGGTCCCTCTATCAATACAACTCTTGGGACAGCCTGCCAATTTACTGTAGGTTTTAAGAAGCTTCAGCAGAAGCACATGCCCGTATCTAGTCCCTTTTAGACCCTGTGCCTGCCTCCTTGCTGCCCCTACTACTGCCGCCTGGATGTCATTTCCTTTCCTTGTAGGTGAAATATGGGCTGCACATTTTATCACTTAATGCCTGTACAATCTGTTACTCCCAAGKACCTCTGGGAGCTTGATGGGACCTGCAAGGGAGAAAAGGCTGAGGTGCTGGTGAGCTACAAGCATTTGCTCATTTCCATATCACTTCTGGGATATTTCAAATGGCAAGTCATCAACTGAAGAAAACACTTGTTTGAAGTTTTGTTCTGCACTCTCAAAACTGAAGTTGTAGATACAGCTGAATAACCATGGAACATGATCAAGCAAAGACACCTATTGGGGTCATTGAATTTTTGCAGCCTGGTGGGATCCTTTTGGTCTTTTCTTCCACTTGTGCAGAATTTCCTGCAGCAAATATTTCTCCTTGCTTGCCTCTACCATGAGATTTGGAGAAGGAATGGCAGAAGGAGACTATCTCTTTTAAAAAATAAAAAAGAACCTGGAATCAACTAAGCAGTCACTATGAAAATTGTTAACCGTGCCAAGGCCAAGGAAAGAGTTTCAGAAAATGAAGAGTGGTAACTCCCAGAATACAAAGTCAGGGGAGTATTATCACCTGGTGCTTGAACAAGGAGCTCCACCTTACAACTGTTTTGTTTTGTTTTTTTGGTTTTTTGTTTTTTTTTTAGGATTTGTAAGGAACGCAGCAATGGGAAATCCATCCACAAAGGATGCAGTGCCCCAACTTGTACTGCAGCTGAATAGTTACGCGATAATTTCCTGAAGAAATCTAGTGTACTTTAAATTTTTTTCATAAAGGTTTACATTGTATTGTAGGTTAACATTAAATGTTTTATAACAAAAATTTCACAACTGGCTATGGGTCTTTCTGTCCAGTAGAGGTGTGACATTTTTTTCTATGTGTGAGGGAAAGGTTGAAAAACATTTTGGAGTAAATGGGACATCGCATTGTCGAGAAGCAAGGAAGAAGCCGGTGCAGCATACCTGTGATMCCGGTGGCTTGGCTAAGGCAAGAGAATCATAAGTTCAAGGCTAGCCTCAGCAACTTGGCAAAAGTCTGTGTCAGCATAAAAATAAAAAGGGCTGGGGTTGTAACTCAGTAGTAAGGTTCCTCTAGGATCAATCCCCAATAACAATTTTTTTAAAAATCAGAAATAAGGAGTTAAAATAGATCTATATTGGGCTGGGGATGTGGCTCAAGCGGTAGCGCACTCGCCTGGCATGCGTGGGGCTCTGGGTTCGATCCTCAGCACCACATAAAAATAAAGATGTTGTGTCCTCCGAAAACTGAGAAATAAATTTTAAAAAAATAGATCTATATTGTATCCCTGTGAGAAATAGCAATTTAGGCAATATGGTAGTGTAAAAAGCAGGCAGATCTGGTATCAAATTTTGGTTTTCATTTATCAGCTTTGACCTCAGGTGAGTTCTTAGCTCCCATAAGCTTTAGTTTCCTCAGTCRTAAATGAAACTTGCCATCTTCTTCAGGATAGATTTGAAGAACAAATTAGCCAAAAATGGTGAGGCACACTGGTAATCCCAGCCTCTCAGGAGGCTGAGGCAGGAGGTTTGCAGGTTCAAAGCCAGCCTCAGCAACTTAGACCCTGTCTTCAGAAATAAAAAGGGCTGGGTGTAGCTTGGTGGTAAAAAAAAAAAAAAGTGCCCCTGGATTCAATCTTCAGTAACCCCTGCCTCCAAAAAAAGAACAAATCAATGTGAAGCACCTTACATAGTTTAGATGCCATCATTTGTTCCCCATTTCCTGTAAGGATATATTTTGAAGGGATATTTTCTTGCAGAAATAACTTATTTTGGGGCTGGGGTTGTGGCTCAGTGGTAGAGCGCTTGTTTAGCATGTGTGGAGCACTGGGTTTGATTCTCAGCACCATATATAAATAAATGTCCAGTGAACTAAAAATTTTTTTTAAAAAAAACTCCCTTTCATATGGAGTTTATTCAATTTTTTTTTCCTTTTTCTTTTGGTGAGGAGTGGTAACCCTCACTGGGGATTTAACTAAGGCCTCACCCGTGCTAAGCAAGTTCTCTACCACTGAACTACATCCCCAGCCCTTTTCTATGTTTTATTTAGAGACAGGGTCKTCTTGAGTTGCTGAGTACCTCACTGAACTGCAAGGCTGCCTTAGAACTCGTGATCCTCCTGCCTCAGCCTCCTGAGTTGCTGGGATTTCAGGTGTCCAGCGCCAGCCCTGTTTTTGTTTCTCCTGGTAAAACAGTGATGAGAGAAAAGAGTAACTCCATTCCAACAGATTTTGGGCTATTGGAATTCCTCTCCTAGAGTATTTTCCCCGTTTTCATTTAAGCTTCAACCTTTCTCTACATCTGTCTTCACCTATCTTTTTTTGTGCTAAGAACTCATGCTTGTAAATTACAGATTTGTATGTGTGTACATTTGATACTACCTCTAAGCTACATCCCCAGCCCTTTGTTATTTTTTAGGCAGGCTCTCACAAGCTGCCCAGGCTAGTTTCAAACCTGCAGTATTCCTGCCTTCTCCTCCTTAGTTGCTAAGATTACAGGTATGAATCATCACACCTGGCTGAATTATGGATTCTTGTTACCTTCAAGGTCTGCCTGCTTGCTTATCCAAAGAGGTGGAGTTGGGGCGCTCCATCTTCTTAATGTAAACCAGAACATCTGCTCTAGTCTAGGTCTGCAAGATTCTTTTCACCTAAGGTCAGAAGCCACTAAATTAATGTTTCACAATTCACTGTGAAGCTTGTGTATAAAAATTGCCATGGATCAACAAAATCAAGGAGAATTCAAACTGATGCCATGTTTTTGGCCACATCAGTTCTCATTCTAAAGGTATCAGCAGCTGTAAAACAGGACCAATTGTAGCATTGCAATAAAGATTTAAGTCAATTTCATTGCAGGATGCAGGCATACAGTAGGCATTTGGTAAATATTGCCTCCTATTCCTGTTCGTAGAAGTTTGTAGTTTACTCACAGAAGATTTACCTGAGATGAATAAAGGAGAAAGGAGGAGGGGGGTGAGGTTTAGGCTTTGTTTACTGGCAACTCATGCAGGATAACTTTTCTTTCTTTTTTTTTTTTTCTTTTTTTTTTTAAGAGAGAGAGAATGAGAGAGGAGAGAGAGAATTTTTTAATATTTATTTTTTAGTTTTCAGCAGACACAACATCTTTGTTTATATATGGTGCTGAGGATCGAACCCAGGCCGCACGCATGCCAGGCGAGCGCGCTACCGCTTGAGCCACACCCCCAGCCCAAGGATAACTTTTCTTGACACTTCTCTGGCATTGCAGTTGGAACTCCACATGTCCTGATGGAGCTCCAAGCCCTCTCAGTCCCTTCTTTATGCCTATAAGCTCAGCTACCATGCTTCCTGAGCCTTAGAGCCCTAGTCCCTCCCATCTATCCCTCTTTGTAACTCTCAGAAGGATGACCCAAAACTCCAAGGTTTCTTACCTGTAAATAAAACCTAGTTTTCCCTTGAAGTCTCTGCTTGCTTAAAAACAAAACAAAAAAACTGTTAATGGAGGTTACATTTCCCCATTTCTTGGCCGACAGGTAATAAGGTCTCTATTTCTGTTGCCAACTTGAAGCATGGTTCTAAAAGACACTGCTGAAGCACATGCCATATACTTAGATTATATTTTTACCTCCACTAGCACTAGAGGACTTCCAATTCTACATATGTGGATTCCTTAAAATTTTGTTCCTATAGGTCAGCTGAGCATGGTGGGAAGAGGCTTTGGAGTCAAATCTGGATTTGAAATTATTCTGCTGCTTGCTAAGTATGCTCTAAGGCAAATTATTGACCTCAGAACCTGTTTCCTCATCTATAAATATCATAATAGTACATCCTTGCAAAGTGGAGGTGCTGTTTAAATGAGTCAGTGTGTGCAAACTGTCTGGCATTGGGTGGATGATGCTCTGTAAATACAGTGTTCCTCTTTCCTGTCTTTCTCTTAGAGTGCCATTTTGCACTTGTAACTGCTTCACTTTCAAGGACTAATGCCAATCCCTCTGACCACCTTTATATTTCCAGCTCCCACTGTCCCTGACCTGCCCTCAAAACCTGTTTTTCCTCTCCACTCATATCATTTTCCCTATTTTCTTGTCTTCATTTTCTTTTCCAATATAAGCCAGTCTGACTTACAATTCCCAAAGTCATGCAATCATCTGTTTTTCCTCCTTGTGTGCTCCTTAAGATGGGTGTAAGTGCCCCTTCCTTTAATCCAGCTCCCATGCCTGCCTTTCTGCTGCAAAGGAACATCACACCAATCTAAACCCATTACTACAACAGCCTGCTGCCAGAAAGAAGTTGAGTTCTTGCCACAGAACTTTGTTATCTTCCTTTTTCACCTCAAAATTGTTTTGTAATGTCACCTGCTTCCTCTTTCTCTTCTGTCTAATGGGTGTATTTTTAAAATGAGATGTAATTTACATACAGTAAAATGCCCAAATCTTAAATCTACAGCTTGTTAAAAATTAACTATGTATCCACCAAAATAAGCTGCAGAATACTCAGGATTGGGGATGTAGTCCAGTTGTAGAGTTCTTGCCTAGCACATGCAAGTCCCTGTGTTCAATTCCTAGCACACACACACAAAAAAAATGCAAAATATTCTTACCACTCTGGAAAATTCCCCTTTGTGTCTTTGCAGTTGATAGCCCCTTTAGAGCTGATGACTATTCTGAATTCTTTCACCATAGTTTTACCTGTTCTTGAAATCTGCCTCTATGGGTAAGGGGAAGATTTTATAAATTGTTTTCCTGATTAAGATTTAATTATTTTTCATGGTAAGAAAATTTAGAAGCTGGGCACAGTGGCTCATGCATGTCTGAAATCCCAGCAACTGAGAGGCTGAGGCAGAGGGATCACAAATTCAAGGCCAGTCTTGCAATTTAGTGAGCCTCTAAGCAATTTAGAAAGAATTTGTCTTAATTTTTTTTTTTTTTTAGAGAGAGAGAGAATTTTTTTAATATTTATTTTTTAGTTCTCGGCAGACATAACATCTTTCTTTGTATGTGGTGCTGAGGATCGAACCCAGGCCGCACGCATGCCAAGCAAGCGCGCTACCGCTTGAGCCACATCTCCAGCCCTTGTCTTAATTCTTTCTAAATTAAGAAAGATGTGGCTCAGTGGTTATGTGACTCTGAGTTCAATCCCTGATACAAAAAAAAAAAAAAAAATTATAAAAATTTAGGAAGTGTAAAGAAACAAAAAAGACAACAAAGATGATTTTGTAATACTAATAGGTGGCAGAGAGACATGAGTGGTAGGAATATGAAGTTGGGTGTTGGTTTTGTGAACCAGGCCTACTGTGCCTCATATAAAGCTTTCTTTTAAAGGGCAATTTGCCTGAGGCTGCTCTGGCCCTGCCTGGCTCCAATCAATGGGATTCTGGATTCTCCTATTAGGAGAAATGCAGGCCCAAAGACTCTTCCCTGCAGATAGAAAGAGCAAGGGTTGCCCTGAAGGGGAACTTTTGTTACCTTTACACAGATCAGATTCCAAGACTAGGGAAGACAGGATAATTAGAAACAAAGTCCCCAACCATAAAATATGTAAAAACTAGTTACAATTAGGACTGGTCAGTGCAGACCAAAGTGACCCAGAGTTGCCTTGGATCTTTAGCATTCCATTATAATAGGAAAATATTTCCTTCATGGAGTAAGACCATGAGCAGATGGAACTTGATTTGAGGCAATCCAACTATCAGTCAAACATGATCAAGAAGTGGGCCTGTGGAGGAGTCTAGACATTTCCCTGTAACCCCCAATAAAACAGGGCTGGAGGAACATACTGTTCCTCTCCTGAGAG